TTACTTACTTTACTTATTCCTTTTAGGCAAACTTGATATGCATATTAAGTTTACTTTCATATTTTTAGTGATGCAGCAGCTTATCGCGATCTTTTTTTTAAGAATAAATTAAAATTTTTTATTTTTAAAAAATAACATCACTAAAATTAATGTTAGTTAAAGAAAAAATTCTTGGATTACTAATTAAAAAATGTTGGTCAATCGATCGGTCAAAATCGGTCGGTCAGTAACCTTTGACCGACCGATATCGGTCACGGTTATGACCGGTCATGACCGTAACCATTAGCATCCCTAGTTGACTCGTTTTTTTTTTTAAAAAAAATATAAATAAACAAAGAATTGATCTTTATCCAAGCTCTCAAAAATTCTGTTACGCCAGTTATTAATTTAAAAAATAGAATGTTCATATTGCATTTATAAACTTTAACTTTGTCAAATTACATACGTAAATAAGAGTAAATAAGACACTGAACTCATTGGCGTTCCCTAAAATAATCGACGATTTGTCATGTGGATTAAAATGGTAACGCGATTATTTAATCTGCTTTAGATCTTTTTATTTTTTTTTTAAAAAAAAAGTTATGTTTAAGAATATAATATGGGTGGTATGCTATTAAAATTGAGGTACGAGACATAGTAAATCATATGATTCGTACCTCAATTTTAATAGCACACCACCCATATTGTTTTAAGAATTCCGAAGAAAAAAAGATATCACTTAATTAAATAAATGAAGCAATAAGTTTGGTGGGGACGAAGTCCTCTGCTATTCGCAATTTCTAGTTTTTAAACATTAAATTCAAGAATGATGACACCAGTGGTCAATTTGGAGCGCCCAAATCTAGGTTGATTACTAATCACATTAAGAAAACAATTCAATAATAAAAAAAGATTGCAATGTACTCATTATTTTATTAACATTGGCTAGTGCAATATTTTACTTGAAGTAATTGTGATTTGGTAATCTATTCAATCTATTTTTAAATTTAGTTTTGTAATATATAACGATAATAGCATTCCAAAAACATATTGGTTCATCGAAATATTATAAAACTGAGTGATTTTGGATTATCGAAAAGATTTGAGGAAGTATCATCAAAGAAACAAAAACTATTTGATGTCATTCCGAATATTGGTCACAAAGGTTTAAAGCACAATCATAAAAACTCAATGAAATAAGTGATGTTTATAGAGTTAGAGTACTTTTATGGGAATCCCTGAAGGTCTAAGAGAGATTTTTATTATTAATAATATTAATTAATAATCCCAAATGTTCTGGCCTCTAAAGGATTCAAAGTAAAAACGGAGAATTTATAATCAAGTTGTAAGAGATAGAGTTCATTGATATTTTAGCATAAAAATTCCCCTTAGAATATTTTTATTTAGCCGCAGTAATTTCACAACGTTGAAGCAATATTAATTGATTTTTATTAAATAATTCTTGCTTCTTTTTTGCTTAATTTAAAACCTTACGTTATCTTTACCTTCATTTATAAATATAATCTTGTAAGAATGAGTACTGCAATACGTTGCATTAATCTACTTGCAAAACTTAAATTTCGAGTTAAGAAATAAAACAATAGTTGTTCCCAATGTCGTTGTAAAATATTACAATTTGTTTCGATTTTTAAATCGTCCCTTTCCAATTATAAATATTTAAAACCAGTTTAGTTATAATAATAAATAAAATCTAATTAAAATTAAATATCATATTTAAAACAACTCTACAAGCCACCTTCCACCAAAATAAATATGTCTATTCATAAAATATTCATTTAAATTTTTTATAATAATGTGTAACGGCTGATTATCCAAATCATAATGATTACAAATAGTAAACTAATTAATAATGGTTGATTAAATTGAAAATGAAAATTCCACTTAATACACCCTCTTATATTGTGATTTTCCATCAAGAATCATCCCATTAATTTTCACTTCAGAGCTGCAAGTAAATTCTTATAAAGAACTGATTCCTATAGCGTAATGTATAATAATCCAGGCAAAAATTTATTCATTGGGTAGGAGAAGATTTATTGATCTGAATCGGTATGTGAAGATATCACATCATCGTATCAGTGGAAAAAAAATTTTGGAGATGAATCTGAAGAATATGAAACTCAAAAGATGAAATATGAGGAATATGAGGAAATCAAACTTAATCAAAAGCCCTTTTGTTTTAGTGATTCGAGTCTTGCAAAATGAAAAAAAATTGATACAATACATGATGAGAACCTGAAGTATAGAAAGGAAGCATGTTTTAAATGTAAAGTAAATAATACGAGAGCTATTTTAATAAAGTCATTATTCAAGTATCTATCAGGATTAAATGTATCTCATTCAACCTAATAATTTTCATTATTATTAAGATTATAGAAATTTGTCCAAAACATTTTTCCTGGTTCAAAAGCATAACCACAAAGTTCAACTTGATTACTCGACGTTCTAAAAATACTTCATTTACCAGACAAATGCGAGCAGTTTTATCAATTACAGCCTCACTGCAAAAAAGTTTATCACGCGTAATTGTTAGTGATAAATTTAGCTATAAACTTGTTCATTTCTTTAATCAACTGATCTTTGACTTTATGATGATTACAAAGATACGTAATATCGAGACCATACTTCAGTTCCTCAATAATATAATCATACAGATTGAAATGTCGGATAAAGGTTCAGAATATCCTTCAATCTGATTTTATTTTGATCACGATATATATTTATCGTAATCATTATAGCTGAAAGATCTGATAATTAAGTTTCGACGAGTATCTTGACATCTTTCTTTAACCCTTTACTAATACATCTTCAACTTTATAAAATAAATAACAATCATATCATTAAAATATTTAAAAATTGTGCACCTAATACAACTTGATAAACATTCCACCTTTAAGGCAGTATAAAAGTTATCACTGGATTGCTTTAAAAGATGTTGAAAAATATCAATATTTATGATTAAAATTATTTACTTTGGATAACTTTTTATTAATTGTGTTTTCAATGATTAAATTATTAGCAAACGTTTTGATGACTCTTATATTGAAATAATTCATCACAATTTTATTCAATCAATTTAATAGTATTCCTTAAAAATACACTAGACATCAAAGTTTGAGTAAGTATTCTGCTATTAATACTCCATTCTTTTATATCTCTATTAAATATCTATCTATTTTTTTTTCCAAACCTATTTCATTAATTCCTTATTTGGCGGTAATCTATAAATAAAATTAATCGTTAAAAAATGGATCAATGTGAACCAAAGTATTCTTCAGATATATTTCCATATTTTGAATCTAAACCAGACTTTTAACCAAAATCCAATTGACCAAAACCTATTTGGCCGAGACCAATTGGCCGAATGGACATATGCCTGAAGTCTACCTTACCGAATGTCCAGTTCACCGAATGGACATTTTATCGAATGATCATTTCACTGAATAAACGTTTTACCGAATCTGTTTCACCGAATAGACATTTTACTGAATCCATTTCGCCGAATGGATTACTGAAAATTTTAATAATTTGCCGTCCAATTAAAATTTATCGTGATGAATTAAAAATTTTTTTTGACTTTATACTACATACAAAGTGATATTTATTCATAGTATTAATGCCTTATAAATAATATGTATAAGAAAAGTATACGGAAATAATACGTTTAAAAACATATAATAAACATAGAAAAACAGTATAATAAATTCGTAAATATTTCCATATACTAGATACTGAAAATTGTCTTTTTTCGTATGCAAAAAAATACTGAATTTATACGTCTAATCAGTATAATGTATATTTAATTTTTGTTAAATTTTATACGTTAAATCTGTATATTGTATACGTTATTTTTGGTAAGATTTTATAGTATATTATA